TGATTTAAATGCTGATTGACTGTGTCGTATTTTTGTTTTTCATATTGTTTATATGTAGTTGTCCTTTTAAGAATTTAACCGTATAAATCTAGCGTCTATTTTAGTTCGTCTCTGACATTATACACTCTAGCCTTTACATTATGCATGATCATAGGTGCAAGGCCTCGTGTATGTGACGTTCTAAATTTTTGGCGTTAACTCCCGTAGACGGTTTGTGTTTGCTTTAGTTTATATATCCTGTCTTATGTTGGTTAGGGTGTCTGGAGATATGGCCTAACTTTGTCATTTTGATTCAATTTAGTACGCCTTTTACCTGAGGACAAAGACATATGGTAGTCTAGTCTCCAAAACTTTGTTTCAAATAAAAACAAGTCTACGAATAAGGCTAATGTCCTTGAAGTCAATAATTCTGTCATTCGACGGCACATATTCTCGATACCTAAAGCGTCGTTAAATAATCCATGAAAAAGGAACGGAGTGTCTAGACTCCTGGTTTAGATTTAACAGAATTATGAGACATTCAAGGCTGAACAATTTTTTATGCGAGTTGTAGCGCCGTGTTGTCCAGCTCTGATTCATTAGCGCAGTCCATATATCTAATTGCAGAAGTACATGTCACTTCAGCGTGTAAATACACGACGCCTGGGACTGTCTGTCTATTCACATTGTCTTACGCGCCAAGATAAATAGATATACATATTCACTCACTGTCAAGGTGTTAATGGCCGCGGTGATGTAGTCGTATATTTCTTGAAATGTCCGTTTCCAAATTATATTCACTGAATTGTGTTTCGTTAGTCTCTGTCTGCATAACACCAGGTTCCTGCGGTACACAGATGCATTGCATGTACAGCCATAAAACGTCCTTACTCTGTGAACAGTATTATGCTTCTTTCTTAGAGACATGGTGTTTAGATTATAATGAAAATAGCTAGATGTAACTAGAGACCGTCTCTGGTCTAGTGGTTCCTGGCTACAGATCCAGAGGTCGTGGGTTCCAGTCCCGGCGCTACCAGATTTTCTGAGAAGCACTGGGTATGGAACAGAGTACACTCAGCGTCGTGAGGATAATTGAGGAGCTATTTCAAGGAAATGGCGTCTCCGGTCTAGAAAACCGAAATTGACTGCTGTGGGGATTCGTTGCCATGACCACGCGGCATCCTCTATCCGCTAAAGCTGGCACTAATTTCGTCGACATCCGGCGGTCGCTCTGTCGGTATAGATCGCTTACGTACTCAAGCCACGGAGTTTAGTCTTTAGTTTATATGTAACTAGAGAGAAGTGGGCCTGTAGTGTTGAAGTATGTCTCGCCCCTGGTTGATGTCAATCATTCCGCTGAGAAGAACGGCTTTGACCTGTACCGGTGAAGAGACTAACCTGTCTGAGGTTTCAGTGGTTTCCTCAGTCTCTTCATGAAAATGCCAGGAAACCTCTTAAACGGGGCCACAACGCCTTCCTTCCACATCTTTTCCAATTCATCATTCATTATCATCCAATTATAGCAAGCTGTATAGTGTAATTTGCTGAGAGCGTCGTTAAATAAACTACAAGAGAATAAATAAATAAATAAAATTACATCTCATTCACGGAGTCGTTGCGATTTCCGCCAGTACAAGATATTTCTCTTCTCTACAGCATCCAGATCGACTTTGGGGCAGTGGGTACCGGTGGCTCTTTCCCTGAGAGGTAAATTTGCAAGGGCATGAAGCTGATCACTCACCTCCTTCTAGTACTGAGGTCAAGAAAGTTGGGGCTATACCTCCACCCTCCCATATATCTTCATGGCATAGTGCTTAATTAATTAAGCACTGGGGCAAATCTACAAAACAAACAACAGACTCCGAGGCCTGTAGTCCGCAAGCGAACTATACCTACCGAGTGACCGCTGCTTGTCGGCAAAGTTAGTGCCAACTTTTGCGGATAGAGGATGTTACGCCTCACCTCTCATTTCCCATAAGCCCCATAAGCATGTCATTCCTCGCCTACCTAAATACCAACTTCCACTCCACTTCTGACATTCACGGACTACGATAGACTAAATGTGTCTCTGTAACCCCTGAACGCACGGCTTTTGTACCTCTCATCTTAGACTCCTATTCATCTTGAACAAACAGGATGACGTAGTTCTTTGTAAGGATTTCTCCTTCCAGAAGAAAGTTCAAAATTTACGTGCTCCAGTCCGCGTTTCTTTAAATGTCCTCTTGCGAAGTTGTCTCTTTCTTAGAGGACATTCAGTCCTACGCCTCTTGCGAAGAGAACAGCAGAAAGTCCAATATAATTTTTGTTTGTCCACAAAACTGGTCATGGATTGTGTAATTTAACACAATCACATAAACTGACTTATTTTATTATTCGCGTCCTTGGGACGTCATTCTACACACTGTTCTAACTGACTGGTCCATAACCAAATGCAGCTAAGCTGGAGAAGCCGAACAGAGCAACAGATATTCTTCGATCCTATGAGTGGGTGTTGCGATTTGCATACCCGGTTTCTGATCCGTGACATAATGCATTAAAGTTGGAATGTATTTTTATGGAAAGATGAATCGATATGAGCTATATAGGGAAATGTTAAGTCACAGTAAATATAAAAAGAGTAATTATGCGAAGTAGAGTAGTGACAACTGCCACGATACCCTTTGGCGGCTTTTCAATTGTATCTTTCGATCCGGATACATTAAAACTTACCATCATCTGTCTGTGAACCTAAAAATTCTAACTTTTGTACACATATATCTCCATCTTAAATTCAACTTACTAGTCACATTTCTTCCTTAATACATGTTTCGGCCGTACACCACCATCATCAGGTGTTGCTAAAATTGTTGCACTGTATGTTACAATTACGTATCGCCTGTGAACGCGATATTTCTTAATTAAAATGTCAGTGTCAGTGTCATTGGGAATTTGAATAAATGTCAACACAGGATGAAATATAAACTTGTGACTCCTTCTTTACCACACTACGAGTATAGGCGTAGTTAGTTGAGGGGCTATGCTACAAGCCGGAAGGTCGCGGGTTCAAGTCCCGATGAGGTCTTTGGATTTTTTCAGTTGACCTAATCCTTCCAGCCGCACCAGGCCCTGCGGTTTACTCAGCCTCTAATAGAAATGAGTATTAGGAATTAATTAAATAATTTTCCTGGGGAGTAAAGCGCGGCCGGCACGTAAGGCTGACAACTTTACCGCCATTTTTGAGCCGATTGTCTAGATAATGTGGGACCCTCAACGTCTCACAACCCTATGTGCCTTCATGGCCTGGTACAGGGATAGCTTTACTTTACTTTATGTAGGTATTCATTACTTTCTCCTATATGCTCCTTCTTTTGGCTTTGCACAGGACTCAACGTCCCGGCGTGGGTGGTTAGCAGTCCAGACTCGTATTTCGCGTCTTAGTGGGAGTCTTGTTATCCTGATCAAGATATTTCGTAATTTCCCTCATGATTTCTTCTTAATTGAGAAAACGTCATATTATTCGCTCCTACCTGATCTGTGCAGGTAAGGAAGCGTCGTTACAAAGCGAAAGAAACCACTGCAAGGAACCCTACGCAGTAGAATTCATCTTTTTTTGTTTTTGTTTATCGGCTTATCAAGGAATTCCTCGATGTTTCTTGAACCGTTGCCGTGTTCTCAAGAGCCTCCCAGGGGGCCCTGACTTGGGTCAGTTTAAAATTGTGCAATTCTCGCGTTCTGTTTCTTCACGATACATTTGAATGTTATTCTCCCGACTTTGGCTGGGCACTAAATTTAAGTTTTCAGACCTGAATATTGTACTCATTTTCTTCTCTCTTGTCCGCGACACATATCCCGTTCATCTCTATCCTCTTTCACTTGATCAGCTTAGTAATATTTAGTGAAAAGTGCAAATTACAAAGCTTCTCATTATGCCTATGCAATTTTCTCCAGCCCCTCGTTCCCGTGAAATCCCGAAGCGTTACGTAAAGTTTTATGACATGCGTGTGTTTTATGACGACCAGCTCGCCGCCCAAACTCCAAGCTGGAGAACCACCCATTGTCTGCTTTCTGCGACTGCTTCTTCAATATGTTCACGCCCATCTTTCATTTCTCTATTCGTAACAGAAGATGGAGCCATTCCTTGATTACGACAGCAAGAGGCGAAGTAAAATTCTCCATATGCTTAATTAAGAACCTCACATAGAGACATATTAGGAATTGGAGGCATATCTCCATGCATTCTTCACCTCGGCACTAGACTCTCCGTATGCTTTTCATCTGAGAAAAAATTCTCCGGCACCCACTGGGTGGGTGGGGAGCCGGGATAGCGCAGTTGGTATAGCGAATGGCTATGGGCTGCACCATCGTGACGCCGGAGTTTGAGTCCCGGTGGAAGCAAGATTTTTCTCCTCTCCACGTCGTCCAAACTGGTTCTGGGGCCCAAACACTCTCGTATCCAATGGGTACTGGGGGCTGTTTCCCTGATGTTAAAGCGGCAGAAAAAGTGAAGTTGGCCACTCACCTCCAACTCGTGCCAAGGAGAAGAATACTTGGATCTATGCATTCACTCCCTCACACGCCTTCATGGCGTAGTGTTTAATTAGTTAAGCATAGGGACAACTCCACCTTTTCCTTACTCATTGAACTGAAGGCTGGGTAGGTCCCAGAACAAAGCTAGATGCTGTGCAGAAGATTCAAGTTTCTTGTCTCTGTCGAGAGTCGAACTCCGGTCTTCCGAATCTATTGTTTCTATGCTGACTGAGCTGGACTGACTTAGTATGGGTTAAAATAGATTGACATTTAATAATGAACAGCTGGAATGTTAAGACAGACCGCTTTACCAGAATAATGAATGAAATTAAATTTGATACCTTATACAATCAATGATGAGTTTCCCCACCTCCTACTCCTTGGTCTCCAGCTACCAGGACATAAAGGGAGTGAAATCTGTTGCCATATAGAAGCAGAGAGCTGCAGAGAGGAGGGCCTGCAAATTGTGTGACGTAGTGAGGCAGATCTGGTCACGTGACTTTGTGTGTTTCCAGACTTGGAGCTGGATGCTGGAGAAGAAACAAGTGTGTGTACACCGACATTGAGTGACCGACGGTCTACGAAAGCTGACTTAGCCACAAGCTCGAACACACCTACACCAACAAGCAGGGGGAAGGACTTCTAGCAGCGGGCCCGGCGCATACAGCCGCTAGTGCAAGGACTTGTTCGCTTCGCCACCGGCACTGGTGAGTTAGTGAGAGCGAGTACTCCACCTGGGGTTGATTGGGTTTGTAACGACCCTTGTTCAGATGCATAGGTTACATAGCGCCGAATATTATGATTATTGTTGATAACGTGGAAAGAGGGTCCCGTATCCTGGTATAAGACCCTAACCGAGCATTTGCCAGGACAGATCGAAGGAAACGCGCAAGGTACTGCAAGACGGCTGGTCCCCCAACCGAGAGTCTGATCCGAGACCTCCTGATTGCAAAGCAAGGGTATCAAAAAGTCGACAACGACTGTTATTAGCATGACAGACGTAAGCGGATGGGGGGGGGGGGGTTCAGATAAATAAATTTATACAATCCGCAATTTCAGGGCAGTGAAAGAAAGTAAAGAGGACATAAATGGTACTGATAAGGGCGCAAGTCTCATTGCGGAACCCCATAATGTCACCGCATGTTTGGAAACAGTCAAAATCAGATTAACGTTTCAAATACGTAATGAGTTTTGAAATATGTATGATGCGACATTTAAGTGGAGAATTGAGGAGAATACCCGACAAGGAACTCTGTGACTCACAGTTTTTCCCCCGTAAAAGGTAAAGGTACAGTTATAGTTGCACTTATTTATGTAATTATGAACTATACCATGAAGCCATGTTGGAGAGTGGAGGTATAGTTCCACCGTTCAGCCATATTGGAGAGTGGAGGTATAGTTCCACCGTTCTTGTTTTGGTACTATGTGGAGGTGAGTTTTCAGCTTCACGCCTCTAACGCTTTAACCCCGGGTTTAGAACCTCCAGTATTCATTGGATATATCGCTAGTGGGCTCTGTAGCCATCCTGGACGCTATGCAGAGGAGAAAAAATCTTGCTCTGCCGGGAATCGAACCCTGGTCGGCCAACAAGTACCCTACTCGCTGTACCGATTGTGATACCTTGGCTCATAGTTCCCTGATTGCTGTTAGAATATAGTTTAATGAGGTTTGACGTTTTATTCGAATGGGGAAAGAAGCTTGACAAGGAAACCTTTTGCAAAGTGGCGATGGAGGAGTTAACAGTAAAACAGAGCTTAATAAAATCAAGTATGAAGATGTGAACAGAACTGAAGTGGCTGAGGATCTGGTCCGAGAACGGATCTGCTAGTTATTAGCGTCTTAGCTGTGTGTACCTTTGTTCGTTGGTTCAGTTGCCAGTCGGTTGTATAACTTGCATCTAAACTACAAAGTGGCGTCTCTACGGTCTCTACTGCGTACACAGTGAAAGGTACAAGTATGGATAAAATGATACAGTGATACCAACAAAATTGGAAAAGAATGATTTGGGAAGAATGGAAAGAAACCAACCGAATTGTTCCTTTGTCCTTCCGATACCGAACGAACAGAAGACTTAGGGAGACCGAAACTTCGGTACAAAAGACTAAGACAATCTTGGGATTTATAAGAGGCCCTAAAGCTCTGAACTTAACAAAGTTGAAGATAATAGCATATGCTGTGGTTATCCGCCTGTACCTTTCACTACTTAGCTGCCTCGCTGTGCCTCAACAGAAACAGATCTCAGGGCAAACGTGTTGGACCCATACCTCAAGGTGTTACAGTTTGTACTGTCCCTTTCAGTATATTCATTTTATTCCAGTATTTATCTGGGAGTATTATAGTTTCGGAAAAAGATAGTTATTTATATTGCTCTTCACGCAGACATTTAATTAAAAATTGGGGGAAAGAATTATGGATTACTGAAATGTTTTTGTGTTTTAATTTCAAGCAAATTCGTTTTCAGAATTGTTTTGTGTCTGGACTGTTGAAAGAAAACTGTCTGCTTCATAAGGTTACTGTTCGGAGCACCAAATAGAAAGCCGTTCGTCTAACGATTCAAGCCTTAGGTTATGGAGAGAACAGAATTAATGTATAAAAATGCATGTCACTTGCTATAACTGGTTATAAAGATTACGTTATATTGTTGCAGAATATCTGTTTGACGACAAAACTTCATTTTGATTAATTGGTCTTTCTCTCCGTTACTGTTCCAGATGAAACAGTTGGTATAATATTTGTATTGTGGTGTCGAAGAATTGAAAATGTCATCTTAACATGCGTTAAATTAAATCTTGTCGTTAGCAATGACTCAGGTATAGGGCCGTTTCTTGCTATCGCTTAGAAATGTGGCAAACGTGACTTTACATGGTTTCTTCATAGAAGTGTAATGAAAGCTGTGGTATATCTAATAGATAGCATGTTTAATACTCAACAAACTTCAGTTTGACAGGCGTGATAAATGCCTTGAATTCTATACGTGTTCATCTATGACAGTGGCCCTGCGGGCTAGTGGCACTTGAAGCAAGGAATTAAATCTTCTGAAAGCGCCAATAAAAATCCTGCATAGGCTGTATCTTGCATGTACCATAGTATTATCTTCTGTTCAGTTGAAGGCAGTTTCTTGTGGCGCTCTATTGTTAAGATATTTTCAGAAAATTTGGGTTAAAGGCAAAATTATCAAACTGACCCCTCTCTTCTATTCGTATGAATGTTAATAAGTGGCTATCTCAAACCTGAATTGTTTAGGAATCTCTTATAGAAACATAGACATGTAACTCTTTCAGAAACGTGGGAGGATTCGTTTTATGTATTGATTGCTGTATCCTGTTTATGGTTTACGTAACATCGTCTTTGCCCGTCACAGTAGCCGAGCGGTCTAAGGCATGCACTGTCTTCGCTCGCTCGAAAACCGAGATCGTGGGTTCGAATCCCACTCAGGGCATGGATGTTTGTGTGCGTTTTTCTGTGTTTGTGTACAGACAGAGGCCTTGCGACGAGCTGATCACTCGCCCAAGGAGTCCTACCGTATGTGTAAGATCTAGTAAACCGAAGTGAAACGGAAAGTTTCATGGAGGTAGGTCTAGGCCCAAATTGGGGCTGTAGCGCCACAGAAAAAAAAAACTCGTCTCTAATGACTCAGATTATGTAGCGCCGAACGGTATGACGATTGTTGAGAATGAATTGGAAAATATACCAAAGGATCCCAGAGGTTCAGCATAACGGTAACGCTCCAGACTGTCGGATGCTAATGGGTTCTGGCATGTCCAGTGATTGAGGTTAGCTCTTTCTGAAGGTCCCAACAAAGTAGGTGTCTCCCTCCTCACGTGAGGACGGAAACAGATTCATTTTCAGAAACGCTGTGTTTTCTAGTTTCTAGAATACCGGACGATGGACAGAGTCCAAGCAGCCAGTAATCCTGAGTACTCTAGACTCTTGTTCAGGAGATGATCGCATAGAATCTCGACCAGAACGTTGCCTATCCTGAGAGGTTTCTCGTGGTATTTCTCAATCCCCCAGACAAATTCTGGGATCATGCTTCGATTAGTGCACTACTGCTTCCTTCCAAATCAATTGCATTTTATCAGTCATCATTCCATTCGGCGCTGTAGTCTCTAGAAACTGACAGCATCGTAAAATAGTCCCCAAAAAGAGGAAAGATGGTGAAAGAAGCAGTCATAGTACAATTTGAGGTACTATCCTAGAATTTGCCTGGAGGGACAGAGTAATACCGCGATAATCCTCAGTCAGGTTAACAGGTCTCCTAGCTGAGATTATAACCTTGGACCTCCCGAATACGAGAAAAGGAGCTCGGTGATTTGTATTTTGGAAAACAGGATCCCTGGAATGTGCTTAACTGCTATTTGTATCGTAATTTATTTCGAAACGCTATACCAGCTGTAGAAGTGGGATGAGGGGTGTGATAATGGTAGGGACAGAAAGCAGTGCCCTGTCATATAGGCCAATTCAAGCCTTGTCCATGGCACTGCCACGTGAACCGAACTGGCCTACTTGGAAGCACTAATACAGACAATTTCGGAACCTAGCTAGCTGCTACCTTAGGGATCGCAGAGCAGCATTAGACTTTTGGCAGGAAGATATCCGGATTCCACCGGCGGTAGTGGCCGGCTGAGTGTGTCACGAATTCCGTATTTACTATTGACATGCCTTCCAGGGCGGTACATTTTTCCGAGGGGCGCCAAGTGTAGAGCGTGGGCCTTAGCAGCTGGAAATGTCTTCTGGACTTTTCATCAGATTTATTGTGACGCGCCGTTGCCACGCAACCAATGCTGCACATAAATTTAATTATTACACAGTATATATATATTCGACCTGTGTTGTCGTCACGAAGCCTTTTTACAGTGTATGTTTATTTTGTATTATTACACTATTATTATCACAGTTATAGAGAGGGGGAAAGAGAGAGATAAAGCCGTACATCAGGCAGTTAGTCGCCAACCTCCCGTTGTGGCGGTGTGGGTTCAATCCCGCTTTCGTTCATGTAGGATTTGTGGAAGATAAAGTGACGCTTATTCCACGAAATGCTCCATTGCTCGCATCCGTCATCCAGGGCTGGTACCTCTCTTCAACCCCCCTACCAAGCTACTCAGTCTCACTCCACTCTAAGAATACAAATATGTATATGCAGGGCTTGGAGTGGGGCGGGATGGTATCCCGGTTCTTTTCTAAATGGCTTAAAAGCATCCCGTTACTTCTTTGGCAGTAAATGCCTATGAATTAAAAGGGGAAAACCATCCCGGTTCTATTTTCATTCCACCTCAAGCACTGTGTATATGTATAAAAAGGTAAAGTTATCCCTGTGCTCAATGAATTAGGCACTACGCCATGAAGGCGTAGTTTAATGTATAATTAGTAGAATGTATAGATCCATATTTTCTTGACCTCGGCACTAGCTGGAGGTGAGTGGTCAGCTTCACCCCCCTTCCACATTATCCCCGGCGAAAGATCACCCGGTACCCATTCGATTGGAGTTTGGGTAGACCCCAGAACCGGTCTGGACAACGTGGAGAAGAGAAAACACTTGACCCTACCGGGACTCGAACTCCGAACCCTCCGTCGTCCAGACCGTTGCCAGTCGCTATACCGACTACACTACCCCGGCTCCTTATGTATATATATAGTTTCTCATTAAATATACGTGTATGTTCTCCCAAACTAACAACTTGATTGAATTAGGTCGACTTATTAAAAA